GAATATAGTAATCTATTGAGTGATTTAATTTTTTTTTATCTCCCCTTAGTTTTTGAAACTGTTTAATTAATTTTAATGACTAATTAAACATCTAATGAAATTTTAAAAATAGATAGGCATGTATCATCATCGAAGTTGAAAGTATCTAGAAAGTTTGAACGAAATCGGTGCATTTGGAAGTGTGTCAAAATTGAGTTACAAGATTTGCCACAAACAAAAAAAAAAAACAAATTAAAAAACAACACAGACCTTGCGAACTAAATAAAAGTTTATATATATATATATATATATATATATATATATATATATATATATATATATATATATATATATATATATATATATATATATATATATATATATATAATTCAATGTCATATCGGTGCATTTGTGTGCCACACAAAAAAACAGACCTTGCGAACTAAATAAAAGTTTGTATATATAAATAAATAAATAAATAAATAAATAAATAAATATATATATATATATATATATATATATATATATATATATATATATATATATATATATATATATATATATATATATATATATATATATATATATATATATATATATATATATATATATATATATATATATATATATATTATTCAATGTCATATTTTAGTTTACAATTGTAATGAATGCATACATGAAGATTTATGTTCAATTTAAAGTAAAACTTTCGATTTATCGTTTAAGTGGATCTATACAATATAGTAATTAAAAAAAAAAACTCGCCGCTTTCTTTGTATACATGTGCCTTCAAGCTTTGATGTGAAAAATGCACAAGAATAAAATTTCAATCTGGGTTGAGTTGGGGGTTCTTTTTAAAATTTCCCGGCCTCATGACCACAGCCAGTCCATCCCCATGTAAACATGACTGTTCCAGTCTCAGTTCATAGCATCTAGAATCTAAGGCTTCCTCTAGCCTAGCAATAGAATTTGATTCAGAACAGCAGTTGTATGTTATGTTTAGATAACAAAATGATACCTCGTCAGTTTATATCGTCCGCCACAGAGGTGTAGCGAGGTCGGGTGTCACCCGGTGCGACACCTAATGGTGTCACCCCCCCCCCTTCCCCCGAAAGATATATATATATATATATATATATATATATATATATATATATATATATATATATATATATATATATACACACACTTGTGTGTGTAAAAGCATGTGTATATGTATTCAAATATATCTGGATTTTTCTGGATGTGTTTAATTTTTTTAAGCTACGTACTTCTGACTGAATTTCGTCTTTCAAATTTTAATGTATAGAGAAAAATGAGAAATATAGCAACAAATACTTTTTGTTTACAACGTTTTAATCCGCTAGAAGCTCTTTGTATTATACGGGTATACCAAATAGGTAATCAAATTATTATAATTTATTATAATCCATAGCATAATGTATCCAAAATTTAAAGATCAAACTTAATTAATTGTTTCAAAGCGTTTGGCAACTCTTTTCATGGCGACAAAAAGCGTCAAAATTTGTCTATTTAATAAGCCAACCAGTTCTGTTCATCTGATGCTAACGTTTTTATTGCTTATGGTCTCCTTTATTCATTCTCATCTCTCAAAGATTTTTTAACTTTATTTATTTACAATGGATTAATACATTTCAAAAGTTGTGTTATTTCGTAACACGCACTTTTAAATAGTAATTAAAAAACAAAATGTTTTCATTTAACCTAGTACATAATGGAGACTATTTATGACAATGACACAAATCAGGGAAAAAGATATACAGTTATTTTAGCCATATATCACACAACTTTTAACAGGAATAAAAAAAAACAATAAACATATCGCAAATCATGGATAACAAATCAGTAAAAAAAAAAGTAAGAACATCGACACAAGGCTAAATTATTTAAGCACAAAATTAAATGTACAACTATCGTTCTATTGGTGTCACACACTTACACATACACTTACACACACACATACACACAAAAAAACACAAATATAAGTATAAATACACACACACACACTCGTGGACTGTTTTATAATAATTTCCTTATCGATATGTATATTTGTATGTCCACTTCAGTGGACGGTGTATTTGGTGTCACCCGCTCCCTAACTTTTTGTCGAAGGGCGTCAATTTTGAGCAAACAATATTAATCTACATAGAAAAAGCATTTGGGGGCCTGATTCTAAAATATAATTCATTCAATTGCATAATCATTGTTTTTGTAGTAAATTATAAGGATTGGTGTCACCCCCCCCATCCCCAGACATGGATTCACACATACGTTATTACGATTCTCGACCAAACCGTTTACCTCAGGCAAATTTTGCCATGTTTAGTAGATGTAACCCCCCCCCCCCTTTCCAGGTGATAGCTTTAAACTGCGCACATATAATACTAACGATGCTCATCTATAGTCTGTTATAAATACAGCTGGATGTAGCAATGTTCTCTCTATCATTAGCCGGATTACGTCATGGTCAGGGGCGTAGCGAGGGGGGGGGGCGGGGGTGCGGACCGCACCGGGTGACACCATTTAGGGGGGTGACACCAAGGCAAAAAATAGCAAAATATATAGAGAAAAACTTGAGGGGGGGGGGGTGGAAATCAAAAGTTTGAGGGGGGGGAGGGGGGGGTGCAAATCGAAAACTTGAGGGGGGGGGGGGTTCAAATCGAAAGTTTGAGGGGGGGGGGGGGTCGCAAATCGAAAATGTGTTCCCGGGAAGGGTCGCAACGCCTCTGAGGGGGGGGGGGGTGATACCATTCAGTGCCGCACCGGGTGACACCCGACCTCGCTACGCCACTGGTCATGGTGTCTCTCTCCCCCCCCCCCCCCGCCCATTTGTCGGGATTTGCCAACTGTGCTTTAAAAGACTATTTAACTCACTATAGTGAAATATATTTTTCTATTTTTTGCCTTGGTGTCACCCCCCTAAATTGTGTCACCCGGTGCGGTCCGCATCCCCCCTCCCCCCCCCCCCCCCCCCCACTCGCTACGTCTCTGAGTGGTCCGCTACCCTCTTCCCTAGCCTTCAACATCTTTTGAATACTGAAGGGGATCTAACCCAGCTTTTATGTTGTTATCCTATCACCAAGGGTCCGCTGATGGCCTAACATCAAAATATTCTGAGTTATTTCCCTTGGACCTTATAGATCTACATTTTTTCTCAGAGTCATTTGTTGTTTACTTTTTTAAAGCATCACTGTACTGTCGGAAAAGATCGCTGACAATAGCAGATCTATGTTTAGATTTAAATATAGATCTAGACTAGTCTATTATTCATAAGAATCGTCTCAAAGTTCAGCATTGAAATGATGGAACGACAGTTCGCTAAGTTTTTCCTTAGCTTGGTGAGCCACTTGAATTATTTTATTAGCCTCTAGGCCACTCTAGGGCTAGGGCAGTCTAGGGGCCTAATAATAATATTTTAATTTTTAATAAATAACCAAGGTCTAGCCCAAATCATGGCCTAATGCCTAATGCCCTAAACTCTAAACTAATGATACTAAAATTAAATACGAATGTCTAGATCTAGAATAATAATAAATAATTAGGTAATCTATCGTTTTAGGTACGTAAAATCGCCCGCGACTAGTAATGTGAAAAACAGGTGACTCCTTACATTTTAATAATTATTTCACATTTTGAGGAGGATTTATGTTTTGAAAAATACAAAAATGTTTACTTGTTTCATTTATGTACCTGTTTCTAAACAATTGAATTAAAACTTTTCCGTAATAAATGAACACCAGCGATGTTTCCAACAGATGCAACCATGCTCATTTACTATAGCAGCCATCTTGTTAAAGTTTTATTTTTATAGACTTATAGCGCAAGATTCAGGCGGAAGTCACTCTATTTTACAAATGGCTGCTGTTTATATAGCAAATCTTGCTTGCAGACACTGCTGTTTAAAGTTAATTTCGGGCCTATATTGATATATTTAGCCATTGATTTAGGTTTATTATTCATTTATCTATAATATTTGACACAAACATATCACAATATACTTCTATTACAGCCTTTACAATGAGGTAACGTTTTCGTACATTAATAGCCGCGGGCGATTTTACGTACCCAAAACGATAGATTACCAATAATTAATAACCTAATAGAAAATCTAGATTATTCTAGGATGTAGGCTACTCATTGTACTGACGTAGGCCTAGATCTAGATCTAGATCTCTAGATCTAGATCTAGATCTAATCTAGATTTTTAAGAAGTAGACCTCTAGTTAGGGGTCATCCATAAATAAATTCATCTGCAATTTTGAGGGGGGGGGGGGTTGTAGGCTGAGGTGTGATGTCATTTTAGGGGGGGGGGGGTCTGGCTTTTTGTGAAGATGTGTGATGGAGGGGAGGGGGGGTGGGAGGTAAAAATCTTTTTAAAAAGATTATGGATTACCCCCTAGGTGCCTGTCCTGTTGGAGTAGATCTAGATCTAGACTTATTCTAGACTAGCTAGTAAAAGTAGCTAGATAGATCTAGTCTCATCTAGCTAATAGCTTAGAGTCTAGATGTCTAGAGCCCCATGTTATTTTTATTTACTAATAGAATCTACTATCTATTGAAGTGTGAGAAGGTTTGGTTTTGTCACATTTTATTGTTTAAAAAAAAATCTGTGTTGTTAAAACATGCAAAACTTGGATTGTATTTGTATGTTTTGTGTCACTTTTTGTAAAAAAATTTGATAGAGGGTTCGGAATTTGGTTTTTCTCTTCTACACATTGTAACAAACATGTAGGCCTAAACAATAACACACTGCCATGCCAATGTCAATAGTAAATAATTAGGGAACTACCAAAGATGTGCATTGAAATATTGATTTTTATTTTAACACTGAAAAGCACTCAACTTCAACATTGAAACAAACTGTTTCAAAACAATTGTCTGAAGATAATACAAAAATAATGGTGGTCTAGGTTAAATAGCCATTAAAATTTGTTTTTCAAAAGTCTACCCCCCCCCCCCCCCCCCCAATATGAAGTGCCCCTCCCGAGAAAAAAGTCTGGGAGAAACACTGGTAGTGACTTCTGGAAAGCACCCAGTGATAATATGGGTTAGGGTGATAATTTGGGTTAGGGTGATACTTTGGGTTAGAGTGGTCATTGGGGTTAGGGTGATAATTTGGGTTGGATTGATCATTGAGGTTAGGGTGATAATTTGGGTTGGATTGATAATTTGGGTTAGAGTGATATTTTGGTGAGTGTGAAATTGTCATGTCTCCTCTTCTAAAGTAGCATCTTTTGTCCTGCACTATTACTCTAAATGGCAGGAATGACATAATTGACATGGTGGACTTTACTATGGCCTATGTGTTCTAAACAATATAGTTGTAGATGATTTATGGCAATGCTAAATTATTTATTATACCAGTTTTCAAGGTGCCATATTCTGTGTGTGTTTGTCAACCATTGTTAGAATCCATCTCTTTGTACTCAATTGCTAATGCCTTTTTCTTTGATGAATTCCTGTATCTTGTACCACTATGGTAGTTGCTAGTTGCTTCTTCTTTCTGGAAGTAAAGTTTTTCATCTTATGAATAAAAATTGTTATCCAATAATCACACTGTTCTTTCAAAGCATTAGTCATTCCATTTTTTATCAAAGATACTACATCATTATATTACTTAGAATTAATAACGGGTTGATCAGTTTAGGCAATTCAATGAAATCACAGGTTTTGGATCCTTACTTTTATCATTTTTTGGCTGCAGTTTTATTTTTGTGTCAATCTCAAACGTCTTTATATATCATGTTGACTTCATCTCTGGCTTTTTCATACCTTCATTGTTCATCTTCATTGTTTATTCGTATTAACCTGAAAAGAACTCATCATTTTTCATTAAATCGTAATAAAAAAACACACTTTTAAATGCCGTAAAAATAATTTCAATAAAGCAAGAGTAATTTGCTTTAAACTTCTCGTATATTCTTATATAACAGTAAGAGGGATTGCACTTCCAGTGTAATAGGGCTTTAGAAATAAAGAATTTTTTGGCAAAACTGCTTGTTTGATTTATTTTTTGTTTTGAGAAAACCTGAAGGGGCGAAAATTTCTTAGAATAAGCTTTATGAGAATCGGAAGATTATTATGAAATACAATTATCTGAGATGAATGTGGTAAAGTAATGTCCCTTGTGGTTAGTATTTTATTTACTAATTAAATTGTGCTCTGTTAAAATAGAAAGAAAATTACCCTTTGAAATCTTGTTGTTCAGTAGGGTAGATGAAATGCTTTAATTACTGCATTTGTGGGGGCTGTATTCTCACCAAAATAATGCCACCAAATAATGCCAGAAGGCTATGTTGAGAGACCCAAAAGTTTCCATGCTAGCTTGTATTCGTTGCCTTAGTCTCTATAAATTAAATCTTTAATTATACTACTTGTGGTGTATTATTCCTATCATAAAGGATTATCTAGAACATATGTAATAAGCTGCAATACTTCTGTAAACAAGTAATTAAAAAAAGTCTAGTGACAATTTTAGCGCAATTTCCTTGTGTTATCTAAAAATAGCTCTGTCGTAGCGTAAATCAAGAGCAGGGTTAGTAAAACCATTGGTTAGTTATTAAAACGTTTTTTATTAATTTTTTTTTCAGTATTTTACATGTTTTATTTACAATAGAGTAACATGACTAAAAACCATTGCGCGCCCAGCTACCGAACGTGACGTCGCAGCCATTGAACGTGATGGCGCAGCTATTGAACGTGATGACGCGTGTGGTGTGGTTGCATAAAATGCCTACTAATTCGGTCCAAATTTTAATTAATTCAAAAATTTTTTTGTGACCAAACGAAAGGATATTTTTGAAAACTTTCTTCGGCAATATTGTTCTAAATTATGGCAGGAATCGATTGGTACATGTTTCAAGTCGCTAAGTGGTCTGGTTGCCGAGTTATGGGCCAAAAACTACATTTTTTCGAGGTTTTTTGGCTTTTCCGGGAAATCCATGAAAGAAACCCGTAATTTTTATGGCCTATGTTCATCCTCGTAACTTGCTTAACATAATTGCTTTTGGAACTAGTCCTCGATATTGCTTCGTTGAGGAGGAGATACGACTTAAAGCTGCGGACACACATCCATCCATCCATTCATTCCCAGAAAAGACGAGTTAATAAACGCAATTCTCCAGAATGGAAATTGCGCTAAAAAGTAAATTAAAGTACCCTTTTGAGCCTAGTCCATGGGGCAGCTGCCTTTTCTTTCCCTACCATAAGTCAAGAGGTGGGGGGCTCAGGGACGTCGTATGGACTCAACATGGGATCCAAACTCAAGACTTTCAGGATAGCAGTTGAACGCTCTACCATTTGACCACACCACACCAGCCCACACATTACATTTCCTAGCTCATACTTAATGAATAACAATGATACAATGTTATAAATAAATCATTGCAACATTATTAAAATGAATTTATAATAATATAATACAAATGTTTTCTAAAGTTTGGAAGAAGCTGAAATAAAGATTATATAGATATAATTTCTTTAGTTACCAACCAGTTATCCCATGTATTCCAAATTTTTACCTCCAGAATCTGCATACTTGAAGCTTCTGTAACTGAAACTCTTCAGTTTCATTTTATCAGCAGCACAGTATGTGTAAAGAGAAGATAACTCACAATACAGTACCTGTTTTAGCACATTTAATTTTTAAGCCCATTTAATAGAAAACTTATTAAATCATTACAAAAGTTGAATATCAATACTTCTGTTAATGGCCTTGAATAACTGTTTGCTTTATGTAACTGCTTTACTGACATAATGACTGGGGAAGCATATGTTTTGATGCACATTATGGGACTTTTTGAAGTTATACATTGTTAATTTTTTTAAAAGCTTTTCTTAAAAAGTAATATTTTCAGTTACATTTTTTAACATATATTGGGGCCTTATTTTCAGTATTTTTACCTTAACTTAGTGTTCATCATTCATAAAGTTACATTTTAAAATCCATGCATAAGAGTTTTGGGTCAAACTCTGAACTAAAAACAAACCATTAAAATTACTAGATTTACTACATCTTATTTTTAGGATATTGTTTACTTGTATTCCCCAAATACCTGTTTCAACTATCCAGCAATGCTCAATATCCAAAATTGCTATTATCAGTCCTTTTGCCATTTAGTCCTAATCAGTAGTTAGCCAAGCCTTTGTCTTGAGGCTGTTTGACTACTGTAAACCTTTAATACTTCAGCCAGTTAACAGAACAAATAAAATCAGCTGATGCATATCTCCCGCATTTCTGTATCAGAAGTCTATGTTTTACAGCTTCAACCTTATCTGAGCCCTGTTTCAAACAATACATTTTCAATTCACCTTGTGTAGTGTTTTTTTTTTAGAGTGGTTTTTCATGCTGGATAACATTCAACTATAATAACCAGTTGTTTGAAGCTATTTATTTGTTGTGAATAATATTTTTTGGTTTTAAATATAATATTTTTTTTTGGATTTCAAGAATTAACAATTATCTATAGGCTTACATGTTTAGACTATCTTCTTAAAACTAATTTATACTCTCAAAAAGGTGTCTACTGAAAATAATAAAGAGCATGCTACTCTGCCATTTTAATTGGTCTCAGATTAAATTGTTTTGATGTTTATTAAAAAATACTATATCTAGACTAGGCTAGAAAAAAAAATTGATATTCCTATTAGTGTACTGTTTTTTAGTACATACATATTTTAAAATAATTTTTTTTTACATTTCAATTTTTCCAGCTAAGGGATATGTTTATTATAATTAATATTGGGATACTATTTAGTAATTGTTTTGTAATTTTTTATTGTTAGTCTGTGTTTTATTTTTTTTCAGCAGATATTCTAATCTTAGAGAAAATTTAGCCCACTTTTAAGGTTAATATTTAAATACATTTTTGACTTTCATTAAAACATAAAATTAATATACCAACAATTTGAAGTTGTTTAAGAACGTAGTTAAAAATACCTACAAGGGCTGACAGAAAAGATTGTTAACACACACACAAATGTCAGAATTGCAATTTCAAAAAAAGGTGAGTTCAAACCACTTATTCCTATGACTCACGGCAGTTATAAAGGTTGCGTCACTTGATCTGAAGGCTTTTCACACACATTAAGAAATTCACTGACAATAATCACTTGATTTGTTAGACTCACTGTAAAAATTATTTGATTTTCATTAGTTTAATCACAGAGTTACTGAAATAAAATTGTCACATTTTTTTTGTTAATTTCTCACAAAATAGCTCTAAATATGAACATGTTTCAATAGTCTTCTGAAAGTTCCAGAATCCATACAGCACAAACAGTTTGCTTAGCATAAAATTATTTGCTTACATTTCTTAAAAGGACAAGCTGAAGTTTGTAAATTGCCTGCACTTTCAAAATAAGTTATGCAATTTTTTTTCCCACTTAAAAAAAGAAAAAAATTAAATCAAATATGTATGCTATGAAACACTTCAATGCATAGATCAAACTGCTATTCTTAAGTTAAAAACATTTGAAAAATTACAGTTATGGTAATACATGCTGTATTTGATTTTACCACTTCCTGATTCACCTACATACTAAGTATCATAGTGTAGTTTTGTGTTTCACCCACTCTGCCCTCCTTAGTCAAACTCACAAGCACATTATAATGTTAGCTTTACAAAAATTAAAAAAGAACTCACCAAAAACAATAAACCAACAACAGACTACAATGCACACAATAATCAAACTATGTCAATTTAATTTTTAAAATAACCCTCACAGTGACACCTATATTGTTTTTACACATCTTTTTTTTTACATTGTTTGATTCAACATAATTGTGTATGTATAACATACACATGAATCAACCACAGGACTCTCTGAGCTATTTTACATACAATAAAAGATTCTCTGGGTCTAGAGATGTTATCTGTTGCAAAGAATAAATTTAAATAATCTCTTTACCTTATTGATTTATGAATTTAAATGGTAATTCTGCTCCATACCCATAAATCAATGTAAGCCTGATGTTTCTATTGGCAAAGGGGTTGATATAAATGCAGCTGTGTATTGTAAATGAAAGAAAAGTCTGTTTTATATGTTTCTTTTTAAAACTATTCTTAGTTTTTAATGGACTTTACTGTTGAGGTGTTGGTATACAGGTTCAAAATGGCTATTAAAATAGAAAACATTAATTGACAATTGTATTTTAAAAACTGTGTTTCTTCCTTTTTTGTGTAAGAATTACTTAATTGTTTTCAAATGTAAAGAGTAATTGTACTTATAGTTATCACTTAGACTATATCATTTATCTAAGACCAGCTGCACTATAGATGAAATCATTAATTTTATCAAGAACAAGTTCTAATATTATTTAACATCAAATTTTAAAAGTTTTAACAACATGCTGATGTATGCATTGTCTTAACTGACTTTTTTGTGTGTTTTCTTATTTTAACAAAGTGCTAATTTGTTTTTCTAAGGTTAAAGAACTTATCCCTAATGAAGATGATAGGGATCAGCTGTTCAGTTTGCTTCGTCATTACCAGGCGTAAGTAACTAATTCTATTAATTAACAAGCATTGAATGAAAAGCTAAATATTATGCTCTATTACTTGTCCTGTGAAATGATATTTCTGATACTAATCCTAGAATTTCTAGATTCTAAATGCTCTTAGAAAATGTAATTCCACATTAACTAATTAATAGCTAAAATGTCTAATAGTTTTAGTGCTTTAACCCCGTTGCAAAAATTTTACTGTTGGAGTTGAGATGTTTTTTGTTATGCAATTAGAGTGAGTGTTAGTTAGTCTGAGCCTCTAAGTTGCTGATAATGTTGTAACTAGACACCCCATGCCAATCTAGTCCATACAGGTTTCCCTCTTGTTTGGGTAAGTCAGCTGATCTATGAATTTTTAGACATGAAACAAATGATTCTTTAATTTGCTATTTAAAGTAACTTCAAACATGCCTACATTAAAAACATGTTTTTTGTTGTAGGACCCAAGACTTGAACAGGCTTCTGTCAGACCTGCGTATTCTACTCAATGAGCCCAACAAGCTGGAGCTGTATGATTTTATGAGGTCATTTTCTTGCCTTTTTTACTCTAATGAAGTCTTTGTGCTTGAGCTTATTTGTCTGAATATACAGCATCAATCTAAAATTTACTAGTATTTTATTAACTACCATTTATTTTTTAAAAAGCCCTCATCTTCAGTTGAAACTTTGACTCTTATAAAACTTAACAATTTCAGATGGCTTGTTTTACATTAAAGCTCATTAGTGATTTCTTTTTTTAGTAATTTGTGAATTTTTTTTTCGTTCAATGATCATCATTGTCTTTTCCCGTTTGTGCCCAAGACATATGGGGCAGATGAAGTAGAGTTTGTTTTAATGACCTTGGCATACGAGGGGATAGTGTGGTCAGCACTGTGCCCAATTGCCTTAGTTTCCCTAATATTAGTCAGCTACCCATCAGAACTGGGTGGACTTTAGTGGCATCCTACAGACTTGAGTCCAGGATCTAAACTAATGTTTCTGAAGTTAGCAGTCGTAAGCTCTACCATTCAACCATGATGACCCTCTGTTCAATAATAATTTAGTAATAAGGTCGTAATTCATGTACAAAGTTCACAGCTAGAGGACTTCATTAATGTTGTTAAGTGATTTATAATTATTTTTATAAACATTATTTAACTAATTATAAATTAACTTGGATAGGCCCATGATTCTAATGAGACACCAGATAGAATACAGTAGAAGGGTGCCAGCTGTTCCAGGTGTAAAGCTGCGAGTGATTCGACTGATGCGCAGACCAGGGGAGAGCCTGGGTTTTGCTGTCAGAGGAGGTAGATAGTCTGGTTATCTTTTTTAAATAGTTTATTTTCTGTTTGTGGATAGATAGGTATTCAGTGTCTAGCATTAACAGACCACGTTTAAAAAAGACATCATTCTTGAGATATGACTGTAAAGATAATTGTAGGGACAACTGGTTTTTTTAAAGCCTTGAATATCTGGCTCTAAGTTATTGAAGTGTTTGTTCCTGGTGATATTTTTTTGAGATTGAAACTTCACTTTTATCGAACACAATTGTATATTGTTTCCTTAAACTCACATAACTTTCCAGATTTTTATTTTTAAATCTTTTGCTTGTAGAATTTTAAAAAAAATGTTCATACTCAGTACAAACAATAAAGACACAGGTCTATACTTAGGTCTATACTTTCATAATTATTTTAAAAAATAGTTACCCTGTCGGACTGATGATCAATAGAGCTGTTGAAGTAGAGTTTGCCTGTTTTTGTGATCTTGTATATGAAGGGATATTGTCATCAGTGCTACGTTCAGCAGTAATTTGCTTTCCTAAACATGAGTCAGTTATCCATCAGACCTGGGTGGATTTGAGCTCATCATCTGAACTCAAGACTTTCAGGGTAGTAATCAAGTTCTCTACCCCTCCACCAAGCCCATTCCATTTTAGATGATTATTCATTTATAAATTATGTGCTTTTTACACATCATACACAGACACCATTTGAAATTGTTTAGCATACTACTTTGTAACATATGGTCCATTACAATGAATAAGTGAAAGCTTGCTTGATCTAATTTCAGGTTTTGAACATGGAGTTGGTATTTTTGTTACACAAGTGACATTAGGATCTCAAGCAGAGAAGCAGGGACTTCGAGTAAGTCTGATTCAATGAATGAGAACGTAGTAAAGCACATTGCAACATACAACTTGATAGCAGCATTTTATGATTTTATGGGCAAAAATATGGAAAAAAATGCTTTGGTGGAGACACATAGTGTTCTTCAAATATTTTAAAATTAATGTCATTTTCTTCCTTAGTAAATTTACATATTGTCACTAGCTTCAATCAGTATCTGATGTCAGTTATGGGTTGGAAATGATGTGCTTATAATACTGTCCTGATATTTGAAAATAAAATAATTTGATTACCATTTTGAACCATAGGCCTTTATAAAAACCTTTTACTTTAAGTAAACTTAATTTTTCCTTTAGTAAATACATTACATTCTTAGATTAATCCCCACTTGATCTAATACACAAAAGAAGTTGCACTTAAGTTGGCATTGTACTATACTTTCAGGTGGGAGATGAAATAGTGAAGGTAAATGGATTTAATATCTCAGAAGCCATACATGAAGATGTACTTAATCTGATAAAATCTAAGGATGAAATTGTTTTGAAGGTCACAAGTAAGTTAAATCCAAAATCTCATTGTTTATGCATAATACTATAGTTTAGGGTACATAGTTAAAATGAGCTCTGTAGTTTTGCTGTATAAAATATGCTTCCACATAAATAGTTTAAGTATAATAATTGAAATAATTTGTTATTAATAATTTTTGTAAAAATTGTTTTTTTTTAGATATTGGAATGCTGCCAACAAAAAAGTATGTACAATTTAAATGTATTAAGTTTATTAGCATCTGATTTTTTAACATCAATTGTTTCACCTATGTTTTAGCCAAATTAATTTGTATCTAGATATTTCTAAAAAAAAGTGATTATTTACAAAAATGAACCCCAACAGTCTTGTTGAGCAAGAAGTAAATAAGAAAAGTTTATCTTTGTTTTAAATTTAACATAATTTAAAAATACCCAAATTAAAGGGTATGTCTATTTCATTTCAAAGCACTTTGAATCTTTTCTCTCCCTTTCAGTGAGCCAACAGATCTAGTAAAATGGGAGTATGTCAATTCTTTGTTAGAGGATTCTAATCAAGATGAGGTAACACTGCAAAACTTCCATTACTCGACATTAAAATCATTGCAAGTTTTTACATTCACCACACCATCCTGTCATTCCAGAATGTAAACATTTGTACTTGAGGAAAAACTTCAATATCTGTATGTTTAATAAAAACTGTTTTGAATATCATGACTCAATGTTTTCAGGGTAAAAGAAATCAACCCCGAGATATCAAAATATTTATTGACAGTTCTGGCCACGCCTCCATTGGCTGCAGGTAAGAATTTAGACATCTTCAGGTGTTGTTCTTTAATATTTACCTTTAAGGTCCACAGTAATATCATAATCTATTTGAAAGAACGTACAAAATGGTCTAATTCAATGACATTAATAAAGTAATTGAATTGAACTGAAATAATTGTAATTTATTTGAAAAATAAGTAAGAGAACAATGTAATTTAATGAACATCAGTAACAGTAATTTTTAGTTTTCAGTAAAATTAAAAAAAAAAATTTCTAAACTGATGGAATAGAGTTTTATCAATTGCCTCAGCTACATGTTAATAGATCGTACAATAGCCACTGTAGTTACTTTACCAGAAGTCAATGAACAAAGTCTAACAAACAGAGCTTACAAAGTTTTTATTCCTATGTATATGTTCTGTTTTCAGTATCTTTAGTGAAAGTGGTCCCACTGCCCGCTACCCTGGCATCTATGTTGAGAAAGTCCGACCAGGAAGTATAGCTGAGGAGGTGGGTTTGGAGGCAGGGGACCAGATAGTTGAGGTCAATGATATCAGTTTTAGAAACATCACATGGAAAGAGGTAAAAAAATTATTTTAGAGTTGCCTGCCTTGTTCTAACTAACACTGTTTAATCTTAAGAAAAAGAGTTTAGAAAAAGTTTAATACGCTTTGAAATTCAAGGTCATGAGTTTTATTACTTTTCTAACAGGCTGTCTTGGCTTTGAAAAGTAGTCGACAATTGAACATGATCATCAGGAAGAAAACAGTAAGTTATTCAGTAACCTTTTTTCAATAAAGGGGTAAATTTGTAACTTTTTAAAACTGTTTAATTTACTTAATTAATTTACTTAATGGCAATAATTTTAAGCATGATGCACTAGAATTGCTTTTATGTATTGTCAAAAAAAACTACCTTTCATTTTTTTTTTAACTCCTTTGGAGGAATAGAAACAAAATTATAACACAACATACATTGGTATCAATACCTACGTCAGTCTCGTCTATTTAAAGCCATTTATTCCTTTTCTCTATTTCCAGTCACACAAGTCTTACAATCTGGTCCAACCTAACCTCTATAATGTCACTTTTCATGTCTAACTATCATTTTCCCACATTTTATTTTTATCATCCCTTGACTTGCTCTTTCAATTAAAAAATGCCTTTTTTTTTGGGTTGGTAATGTCTATTAGTTTTAATTCAAGTATATAAAATGAAGAAAATATAAAATATAAAAATAATTTTAAATAAATTTCCCAAGATTCCCAGCAGCTGCAGCGCCTGACCAATAAAAATAATTTTAAATAAATTTCCCAGCAGCTCCAGCGACTGACAAATAAAAATAATTTTAAATAAATTTCCCAAGATTCCCAGCAGCTGCAGCGCCTGACCAATAAAAATAATTTTAAATAAATTTCCCAAGGTTCCCAGCAGCTGCAGCGCCTGACCAATAAAAATAATTTTAAATAAATTTCCCAAGATTCCCAGCAGCTGCAGCGCCTGACCAATAAAAATAATTTTAAATAAATTTCCCAGCAGCTGCAGCGCCTGACCAATAAAAATAATTTTAAATAAATTTCCCAGGGTTCCCAGCAGCTGCAGCGACTGACCAATAAAAATAATTTTAAATAAATTTCCCAGGGTTCCCAGCAGCTGCAGCGACTGACCAATAAAAATAATTTTAAATAAATTTCCCAGGGTTCCCAGCAGCTCCAGCGCCTGACCAATAAAAATAATTTTAAATAAATTTCCCAAGATTCCCAGCAGCTGCAGCGCCTGACCAATAAAAATAATTTTAAATAAATTTCCCAAGATTCCCAGCAGCTGCAGCGCCTGACCAATAAAAATAATTTTAAATAAATTTCCCAAGATTCCCAGCAGCTGCAGCGACTGACCAATAAAAATAATTTTAAATAAATTTCCCAGGGTTCCCAGCAGCTCCAGCGACTGACAAATAAAAATAATTTTAAATAAATTTCCCAAGATTCCCAGCAGCTGCAGCGCCTGACCAATAAAAATAATTTTAAATTAATTTCCCAGCAGCTCCAGCGACTGACAAATAAAAATAATTTTAAATAAATTTCCCAGGGTTCCCAGCAGCTGCAGCGCCTGACCAATAAAAATAATTTTAAATAAATTTCCCAGCAGCTCCAGCGACTGACAAATAAAAATAATTTTAAATAAATTTCCCAAGATTCCCAGCAGCTGCAGCGCCTGACCAATAAAAATAATTTTAAATAAATTTCCCAAGATTCCCAGCAGCTGCAGCGCCTGACCAATAAAAATAATTTTAAATAAATTTCCCAAGGTTCCCAGCAGCTGCAGCGCCTGACCAATAAAAATAATTTTAAATAAATTTCCCAGGGTTCCCAGCAGCTGCAGCGCCTGACCAATAAAAATAATTTTAAATAAATTTCCCAGCAGCTCCAGCGACTGACAAATAAAAATAATTTTAAATAAATTTCCCAGGGTTCCCAGCAGCTGCAGCGCCTGACCAATAAAAATAATTTTAAATAAATTTCCCAGCAGCTCCAGCGACTGACAAATAAAAATAATTTTAAATAAATTTCCCAAGATTCCCAGCAGCTGCAGCGCCTGACCAATAAAAATAATTTAAAATAAATTTCCCAGCAGCTCCAGCGACTGACAAATAAAAATAATTTTAAATAAATTTCCCAGCAGCTCCAGCGACTGACAAATAAAAATAATTTTAAATAAATTTCCCAGGGTTCCCAGCAGCTGCAGCGCCTGACCAATAAAAATAATTTTAAATAAATTTCCCAAGATTCCCAGCAGCTGCAGCGCCTGACCAATAAAAATAATTTTAAATAAATTTCCCAAGATTCCCAGCAGCTGCAGCGCCTGACCAATAAAAATAATTTTAAATAAATTTCCCAAGATTCCCAGCAGCTGCAGCGACTGACCAATAAAAATAATTTTAAATAAATTTCCCAAGATTCCCAGCAGCTGCAGCGCCTGACCAATAAAAATAATTTTAAATAAATTTCCCAAGGTTCCCAGCAGCTGCAGCGCCTGACCAATAAAAATAATTTTAAATAAATTTCCCAGGGTTCCCAGCAGCTGCAGCGCCTGACCAATAAAAATAATTTTAAATAAATTTCTCAGCAGCTCCAGCGACTGACAAATAAAAATAATTTTAAATAAATTTCCCAGGGTTCCCAGCAGCTGCAGCGCCTGACCAATAAAAATAATTTTAAATAAATTTCCCAGCAGCTCCAGCGACTGACAAATAAAAATAATTTTAAATAAATTTCCCAAGATTCCCAGCAGCTGCAGCGCCTGACCAATAAAAATAATTTTAAATAAATTTCCCAAGATTCCCAGCAGCTGCAGCGCCTGACCAATAAAAATAATTTTAAATAAATTTCCCAAGATTCCCAGCAGCTGCAGCGCCTGACCAATAAAAATAATTTTAAATAAATTTCCCAAGATTCCCAGCAGCTGCAGCGCCTGACCAATAAAAATAATTTTAAATAAATTTCCCAAGATTCCCAGCAGCTGCAGCGCCTGACCAATAAAAATAATTTTAAATAAATTTCCCAAGATTCCCAGCAGCTGCAGCGCCTGACCAATAAAAATAATTTTAAATAAATTTCCCAAGATTCCCAGCAGCTGCAGCGCCTGACCAATAAAAATAATTTTAAATAAATTTCCCAAGATTCCCAGCAGCTGCAGCGCCTGACCAATAAAAATAATTTTAAATAAATTTCCCAGCAGCTCCAGCGACTGACAAATAAAAATAATTTTAAATAAATTTCCCAAGATTCCCAGCAGCTGCAGCGCCTGACCAATAAAAATAATTTTAAATAAATTTCCCAGCAGCTCCATCGACTGACAAATAAAAATAATTTTAAATAAATTTCCCAAGATTCCCAGCAGCTGCAGCGCCTGACCAATAAAAATAATTTTAAATAAATTTCCCATCAGCTCCAGCGACTGACCAATAAAAATAATTTTAAATAAATTTCCCAAGATTCCCAGCAGCTGCAGCGCCTGACCAATAAAAATAATTTTAAATAAATTTCCCAGCAGCTGCAGCGCCTGACCAATAAAAATAATTTTAAATAAATTTCCCAGGGTTCCCAGCAGCTGCAGCGACTGACCAATAAAAATAATTTTAAATAAATTTCCCAGGGTTCCCAGCAGCTGCAGCGACTGACCAATAAAAATAATTTTAAATAAATTTCCCAGGGTTCCCAGCAGCTCCAGCGCCTGACCAATAAAAATAATTTTAAATAAATTTCCCAAGATTCCCAGCAGCTGCAGCGCCTGACCAATAAAAATAATTTTAAATAAATTTCCCAAGATTCCCAGCAGCTGCAGCGCCTGACCAATAAAAATAATTTTAAATAAATTTCCCAAGATTCCCAGCAGCTGCAGCGACTGACCAATAAAAATAATTTTAAATAAATTTCCCAGGGTTCCCAGCAGCTCCAGCGACTGACAAATAAAAATAATTTTAAATAAATTTCCCAAGATTCCCAGCAGCTGCAGCGCCTGACCAATAAAAATAATTTTAAATTAATTTCCCAGCAGCTCCAGCGACTGACAAATAAAAATAATTTTAAATAAATTTCCCAAGATTCCCAGCAGCTGCAGCGCCTGACCAATAAAAATAATTTTAAATAAATTTCCCAAGGTTCCCAGCAGCTGCAGCGCCTGACCAATAAAAATAATTTTAAATAAATTTCCCAAGATTCCCAGCAGCTGCAGCGCCTGACCAATAAAAATAATTTTAAATAAATTTCCCAGCAGCTGCAGCGCCTGACCAATAAAAATAATTTTAAATAAATTTCCCAGGGTTCCCAGCAGCTGCAGCGACTGACCAATAAAAATAATTTTAAATAAATTTCCCAGGGTTCCCAGCAGCTGCAGCGACTGACCAATAAAAATAATTTTAAATAAATTTCCCAGGGTTCCCAGCAGCTCCAGCGCCTGACCAATAAAAATAATTTTAAATAAATTTCCCAAGATTCCCAGCAGCTGCAGCGCCTGACCAATAAAAATAATTTTAAATAAATTTCCCAAGATTCCCAGCAGCTGCAGCGCCTGACCAATAAAAATAATTTTAAATAAATTTCCCAAGATTCCCAGCAGCTGCAGCGACTGACCAATAAAAATAATTTTAAATAAATTTCCCAGGGTTCCCAGCAGCTCCAGCGACTGACAAATAAAAATAATTTTAAATAAATTTCCCAAGATTCCCAGCAGCTGCAGCGCCTGACCAATAAAAATAATTTTAAATTAATTTCCCAGCAGCTCCAGCGACTGACAAATAAAAATAATTTTAAATAAATTTCCCAGGGTTCCCAGCAGCTGCAGCGCCTGACCAATAAAAATAATTTTAAATAAATTTCCCAGCAGCTCCAGCGACTGACAAATAAAAATAATTTTAAATAAATTTCCCAAGATTCCCAGCAGCTGCAGCGCCTGACCAATAAAAATAATTTTAAATAAATTTCCCAAGATTCCCAGCAGCTGCAGCGCCTGACCAATAAAAATAATTTTAAATAAATTTCCCAAGGTTCCCAGCAGCTGCAGCGCCTGACCAATAAAAATAATTTTAAATAAATTTCCCAGGGTTCCCAGCAGCTGCAGCGCCTGACCAATAAAAATAATTTTAAATAAATTTCCCAGCAGCTCCAGCGACTGACAAATAAAAATAATTTTAAATAAATTTCCCAGGGTTCCCAGCAGCTGCAGCGCCTGACCAATAAAAATAATTTTAAATAAATTTCCCAGCAGCTCCAGCGACTGACAAATAAAAATAATTTTAAATAAATTTCCCAAGATTCCCAGCAGCTGCAGCGCCTGACCAATAAAAATAATTTAAAATAAATTTCCCAGCAGCTCCAGCGACTGACAAATAAAAATAATTTTAAATAAATTTCCCAGCAGCTCCAGCGACTGACAAATAAAAATAATTTTAAATAAATTTCCCAGGGTTCCCAGCAGCTGCAGCGCCTGACCAATAAAAATAATTTTAAATAAATTTCCCAAGATTCCCAGCAGCTGCAGCGCCTGACCAATAAAAATAATTTTAAATAAATTTCCCAAGATTCCCAGCAGCTGCAGCGCCTGACCAATAAAAATAATTTTAAATAAATTTCCCAAGATTCCCAGCAGCTGCAGCGACTGACCAATAAAAATAATTTTAAATAAATTTCCCAAGATTCCCAGCAGCTGCAGCGCCTGACCAATAAAAATAATTTTAAATAAATTTCCCAAGGTTCCCAGCAGCTGCAGCGCCTGACCAATAAAAATAATTTTAAATAAATTTCCCAGGGTTCCCAGCAGCTGCAGCGCCTGACCAATAAAAATAATTTTAAATAAATTTCTCAGCAGCTCCAGCGACTGACAAATAAAAATAATTTTAAATAAATTTCCCAGGGTTCCCAGCAGCTGCAGCGCCTGACCAATAAAAATAATTTTAAATAAATTTCCCAGCAGCTCCAGCGACTGACAAATAAAAATAATTTTAAATAAATTTCCCAAGATTCCCAGCAGCTGCAGCGCCTGACCAATAAAAATAATTTTAAATAAATTTCCCAAGATTCCCAGCAGCTGCAGCGCCTGACCAATAAAAATAATTTTAAATAAATTTCCCAAGATTCCCAGCAGCTGCAGCGCCTGACCAATAAAAATAATTTTAAATAAATTTCCCAAGATTCCCAGCAGCTGCAGCGCCTGACCAATAAAAATAATTTTAAATAAATTTCCCAAGATTCCCAGCAGCTGCAGCGCCTGACCAATAAAAATAATTTTAAATAAATTTCCCAAGATTCCCAGCAGCTGCAGCGCCTGACCAATAAAAATAATTTTAAATAAATTTCCCAAGATTCCCAGCAGCTGCAGCGCCTGACCAATAAAAATAATTTTAAATAAATTTCCCAAGATTCCCAGCAGCTGCAGCGCCTGACCAATA